AATATATTACAGCCCAGCCTGTGTGTTGTATTCATTTTATTGCTACTGAACAGTCAGGTCCGAATTCAGAGTTACATCAATGTAAACTAGATTTATACGGACCCAGGTTAGGGCAGAAATAGTTTAACCCATAACTGCTATTCTGATATAAATGATAATTAAATTTGTTTCTATTGTTTTCGCAACATTTTCTTTAGTATCAACTGCGTACCGACTGTATGGTAACTTTTGCCCAACCCTGTATATTACATCTAAGAACTTATGAGGAAAATAATGAAAAATGTATAACAATGCGTCAACCACTCTACCATATTCAGTGCCGATGAAGTGTTTCGCCAATACAAGGGCTCATCAGTAGTATGTTTGTTTTTGGAATTTAGCGCAAAGCTACTAAAGTGATGGACTGGAGGAAAAGAAGGCAGCTAGTCAACACCAGACACAACCAACTCTTGGACTACTCTCTTACCAACGAGAAGTGCCATTGACCGGCACATTAAAACGCCACCATGGCTGAACGGATTATATGTTCGATGACGGCCGCAAGTAGTGGTTCTGAAACTAACTGTATTGTTGTTTAAGACTCATAACGTAGGTAAATTGATATGTAGAAGTATAAACAGACTTTTCTTTATTTCACTATAATTTAACGTAGAGAAAAGTGCGTTTATAATTCTACAACTAACTATATTATAAAACTGTATAAACAACGGTGTACATGTCACTCTTTGTTTAGGTACAAAAGACAAATACAATCACAATTCACTACAATACAAATTATTTACAAAATATAATATAATTTATATTATCAAACTGTATAAACAACAATGCTATCGAGTAATTTGTATTGTATTTATAATTGTATTAGTATTTTGTGTACAAAATAGAGTGGAACATAAGTGCAACAGAAATTAAGTTATAAATACAGTAAAATACAAATTATATTGTGACTACAATACAATAAAAAATTATTTACAAAATATAAATAGAATTACAATATCCGAAATTCAGATGTACTACACTAAAAATGATAATTAATTATTTCATTTACTTTATTGCTGCTAAACTGTAAGACGGCATTAGGGTTTATATGGATTTGTACGGACTATTCTTAAACAGCACGTCATATAAGAAATTCACACCCAGGAATACAGTGAGGGAAATATAATGATTTAATACAGTAGTTAGGACACTCGACTCGCAATCTACGGGTCATGGGTATGATCCTTGTCAGCGAACATCATATTATTCGTTGATAAAAAGAGTAGCCCAAGAGTTGGCGGTGGGTGATATTGACTAGCTGCCTTCCTTCTAGTTTATCACTGCTAAATTAGGAACGTCTAGCGCAGATAGCCCTCAAGTAGCTCTACGCGAAATTCAAAATAAATAATTTAGTACAAAAAAGCGTAAAATTACAGTGTTGAGTGTTCTGTAATCTATTATTGTAAAGACGACACAAGGAAAAATGTTTTAGCGTAGTTTTTAAATTGTTTTAAACAATTCTAAACAAGATAGGAAAGCTTTCTCCAGATGACAACGCTGTGGTAAAAATATCAAACACTCTTACCAACACGCACCGACGCGACGTTTTTTAATTCAATTTTATATATGATTTTAATGGAAAGACCCACGCTTACCAACTTAACAACTAAGTAAGTTGTTTAGACGATAATGTCATTTCAAGAGCGCGTGTTTGTCCTTCACGCGCCTACCTACTTAGATAATCTGTCTAACGCGTTTTTCACCGGCGGTTAAAGCATTTGCTCTGTATTAGCCACTTTATTATGCTCTAAACTTGGCATAAATTGTTGTTTTTGCAATAAACTTAGCTGTTGGGGTGTAATCCCTTCGCTGTGTTGTGCTGTACGGCCTGATATACGATTGTATGTGTACGTTGTGCTGCAGAATCTGTCTTTCCCTACACCTCCTCAGTGATGTAGTTGCCTTGGCTACGCGTATAATGCATCCCAGTAGAATTCCCGTGTTTTCTAGTAGTTATTTTACACGTTGTGTGGATCGCATGGCAAATACACTTAACTATCGAATATCTTCAGCAGGACTAAGTGTCTTCTCGGAAGTTTTTGGATAAATCCTGGGGTTTCTCAGACATTCACTGCTTTACTTCTGCGGCTTTATATCACTGTTTAGTCATGGTAAACCTGAAAATCAAAAACGGGATCAATTTGTTCAAGAGATTTCTTTCTCTTCCTGTCATCCCAGAAAAATCCAAGCAATGATCAGAGACACCCCAAAATTGATCCTAAGTAAGTTTTGAATAGTGGACGCCTATAACGTGAGCGATACATGTTCCTATATCAAGATAAATTACGTGACTGAGAGCGTTAGTCCTAACAATTTTACTGAAACGATTTTTGAATGCAACTAAAATATGAATGAGTATGACGTCACAAAACAAAGGATTCTACCAAGATATCATCAGCCCAACAGGGAAGTTCTGGTATTGTACGAAAGCCCTCTTGGGCAGCGACTTTGGGAGCCAGAAGATAGATTTGAAATCTGAAAAGAACGATCACATTAAATACTTCATTTGTTTTAGGTAATATTTTGTGTCTCATCGTCCAGCCCAACTGGGAAGTTCTGGTATTATACGAAAGGCCTCTTGGGCAGCGACTGTGGGAGGCAGAAGATAGATCTGAAATGTTTATTTTTAAACCCATGATTTTGAATCCGAAATATACCAATTAAGAATAATTTGAGACAAAGATACATCTGCAGTTTACGTAACAAATTTTAAGCCTATTGGTTTCCATTGCTTCGTGAGCGTTTGATGTTTATATCATATTATTTAAATATCCGTAGTCATTTTCTACGGAAAACCTGTTTTGTATTCGAATATTCTAGTAACTCATTTCTTCTAATATGGCGGTTAACTTCTCTTCCTCTTTCTTAATGCTATAAATCCAAGGACAGATTAACATTTACGGACTTATAACGCTAAAATCCGGGGCGCTGTTCCCCTTGGTGGAAAGAGTGCAGATAGCCTGTTGTGTAGCTTTGCCCTAAAACAAACATACGTCGACTCCCACACCAAATATTCTTTTAATGTTATTTCACATATATAGCTTTTTTTTCTACGTCAAAAGTTTTATATTACCCTATTTTTCTGAATAATCAATTTCACTAATTAGAAGTGTGTGGTACTTAACTTCAAAAGCTATCGTTTTACGGACTACATTGTGATAAGTTATGACAATGTTAAGCCCTTTGATTTCAAGCAAACATACTTTACGGCTGAAAATATTGTTAACAACAAGGGAACCAAACTGATGAAACAATAAGTAAGAACGTAACAACAATATAATTGATTTCTTATACTCGTTACCAGATTGATTTTTAATTTTTGCTCTTAGTAGGTAGCTTGTTCTGATGGGAAATTAATAGTAGATAACATTGTACCTTAAGAACATTTTCACTCATACAAAAATTATTTTATAAATCAGTTTCCAATTTTATTAGTTGATGTGAGCTACAAATAGTATTACTATAGTTATAATACTGTAACATGGATCGACACTTTTCAATTATTTCCTGATTATATAGCCCCTGGTGGCTCAACGGTAAAGTTAAAGGTTTTTTATGCTAAAATTCGGGACTTGATCCCCGCTGTTAAGCACAGCACAAATAACCTATTGTGCCCCTTCGCGCACAACAACAAATAGATAGGTAGAAAATACAAGTTTCAGTACATTTTGTCCTACCCCCAGTGGCTCAGAGGTAAGTTTGAGTGCTTATAACGCAAAAAATTGGACTTAGATTTCCGGAGTAAGGAGAAAACATATAAATCATTGTGTAGCTTTAAGCTTAAAAACAAAAAGAATATATTTAACTTGTACCATTCAGCTGTAAGTCTGAGGGCTTATCATGCTCAAAATCTGTTTCGATACCTGCGGTGGGCACAGCACTGATAACCTATTGTGTAGTTTTATGCTTATGAACAACAACAACAAAAATGTAGCCTTCCTCATTTCCCCATGTATCTTATTCTGCTTGTACTGTTTGATTATCAAAGTTTATTGTCACTAAGGTCACTAAACTATTTTCAGGACAACCATTGTGGAAAATTTCAATAATTACTTTACCAACCTGGACGCCATCGTGGACCAGCGACTGTAGACAGAGGTCATACGAATGCTGACCTACTTTTATGAACGTATTACACACTCTGTGAATAAGATTGAAATAATTACGTTCTATATAGATATCTTAAGAATCATAAAAGTTCAGAAGCAGAGTGAAGAATATTGTGCTCAACCTGAATTTCTTTCGTTTATATGAAAGGTAGTTAAAAAGCGGATTTCTTAACAAATACATTTTGTACTGATTCAACATTAGGCCTGACAGATTTTATTACTTGTCGTCGTAACCGATTTTTTTGTATGTACTTTGTACAACAACTTCCATTATATTTTATGTATATAAGGTGGTGGCGCTGATACATTTTAAAAGAAATATAAATATGTATATGATTATGTTGTTTCATTTTGTATCATGATTTGCAAAATAAATGTAGATTTTATTTCATTGTTATCATGACTGTTTTTATTTGTGCAATATTTACAGTAAGGAAATTTCGATTTTGATAGCTACAACTTTTCGACCCATTGAACGGGTCATCAGCATCATCAAGCTTGGTCACTTTAACCCGCATGATTGGAAATGGTTTCTTCGGCTATCGTGCTGTTTCCTCGATCCTGGTGACACTTTAACCCGCATGATTGGAAATGGTTTCTTCGGCTATCGTGCTGTTTCCTCGATCCTGGTGTCACTTTAACCCGCAT